TACCCTTACACCACTTTGTTTTGTTTTGTTTTTTCTCTTTTTCCTTTTAAATAAAATTTAAAAAAAAAATATATATATATATATATATATATAAAAGAAGAAAATAATGCTGTGTTCAGTCTGCAAAAGAAACATTGGATTGGAAGGGCATTTAACAACAGCCAGGAAGGAGGGCCTCACCAGGGTAAGAGCACAGGACGCAGAAGAGTTCACCCAGTTCTGGAGAGATACCTCACTGAAACCCAAAGACTTGAACCATTTTCAAAAATTGAAAGGTATTTACCAAGACTCTTTCTTATGTCTCTTTTACTGATTATCTGACATGTGAAAGTGCCCAGTGAAATAAAGTCCTAAATACTGGATGATCCCTGTTTTGCATCACAAGACAGTTGGGCATCAAAATCTAAATGACTTCTTGGGCACAGCTCTGACAGAGCCATGAGAAAAGAGTTGACATCCTAGGCACCTCTGCTCATGTGGCTGCTCTTTGCTGGTAGATTCACCACTGACTGGATAGCACCTTTGCTGGAAGCATATCTCTCCCTTCACCTATGAGGTGCTGGAACATGTCAGTCATGTTAGCCTCCGACAGTCCTTCCCATCCCTGCAGGAGCACATTCCTCTTCCCACAGAGCCAGAGTATATAGTTGCTCTCCCCCAGAACAGGATGGAAGGAGACAGAAATGAAACCATGCAGCACTGGGCCTGGGCCTTATGAGGCCTGAAGCTCATGCTTTCAGGCTCTTGCAGCTAGCCAGAAGTTGAGAAGATCCACTTCCCTGCTAGAGAGAGACCACCTGATAATACAGGGTCACTGGAAGATGTCAGACAGTGAAAGAGAAAAAAGTCCCATTTGCTCCTGCCTTCCCAGCCCCTGCTATAGAGGTAACACACATGTGAATGAAACCATTTGGTAACTCCAGAGCCTACAGAGCTGCACCAGCCATGACAATGTGGACCAGAGATGAGCCTTCCCCATCCTGCCCAAATCACAGATGGTGAGAAAACATGGGCTTGCTTTTGCTTTAAGCCATTAAGCTTGAGGGTGGCTGGGTAGGCAGCAATAGAGAATGCTATGTACCAACAAAAAGGAAATGGGGAAGCAATGAAGGAAGGACACAACAGCACTAAGAAGGAAATATGTTATGTGTGCAAAGTAGATGTAACTGTACTTATGATAGAAGTCATAAAACCAGAAAAATTATATGAGCTAGAAATAATTTTTAAAAACTAAAATACATTGGCCTGACACAATCTAAATTCTTATAAGTGAGTATGGGCCCATGCTAAGTTTGGATGGGGTTTGTTCCTTGAAGGGGTGTGTGTGTGTGTGTGTGTGTGTGTGTGTGTGTGTGTGTGTACATACACATACTCTCCCTTGACTATCTGATTTTTCTCAGGCCCAATATCTGGTCCAGAGGCAAAGGTTTTATTTTTTTATTATTGTTTTTTGAGACAGGGTCTTATTAGCTGCTCAGGCTGACCCTAAACTCCTAGGATCAAATGATGCATTTGGAAATCCAGCTATACTAACAAACCTTTCAACATCTCTAAATCGTCCCTTAAATTCAACCAGTTTTCATACTGTTCTGTTATCTCCCACCTCAATTATTGCTCAAGCTTCCTAATTAGTCCTCCCTGCTGCTTGCTGTCTTACCTCCCTACAGCCTGAGCTCAACTCGCAGCCAGAGGAAATTTCATAAAACATAAACCAGATCATGACTCTCCTTAGCATAACTAGCTCCTTCGGCTTTCCCCCTCTACACCAGAGTAAAAACCAGAACCCTATTGGTCACCTGCAGACCTAAACAGTTATCTCTTTCCCTGGCTGCTTCACCCTGCTCATGTTCCTGAAGCCGAAGGTCATGTCTACCTAAAGGAGTCCCACTTGCTGTTTGCTCTTCCTGGAGGCTCTTCCCCACATCTCCGCCACTTGCTTAGGAACGTCACTCAAAAGTTTCCTTCTTGGGAAAGATTTCCTTACCTCTAGCCCAGAACTCTAACTTTTCCTATGCCTTTTCTCCTTGGTACCTGTCACCACTTGAGATATATGTGTACATGTGTGTATGTATACATACATGTGTGTATATATGTATATATTTTTTATTTTGTATCTTATCATTTTCCTTCCTCACCATGAGGAATTTCTGTCTGTCATGGTGCCCCACTGCCCGCATCCTGATCATTTAGTCTATCAGAACATCAGTCATATTACACTAATGGGATGGGTAAAATGCATGATATAGGTACCAACGGCATGAGGATTTAAGGGACAGGCAACAGGACAGTAAGGAGAGCTTATCAGTCAATGTACAACCTGATGTGAGCAGCAAAAATTTGTAAGGTAATAACAACAACTTGTGCAAATAGGGAAAACAGCTAAACATACATGCAGGGAAAAGTCAAGGCTTAGCTGAAACACAGAGAAGTGATCTGCTAGAGTGTACTCAGAAATAAGAGATAACAAAGAAGCAGGTTATGGGCAAGCTTCAAGTCAATGAATCTTGCCCTAAGGAGACTGACAGTCTTTCTCCAAGCAAAGGAGATCCACTGGAGACCATCTGACAAAAAGGAGATTAAAAAAGAAAACCTACAAGATAGAATAAAAGACAAGAGAAGAGGAGTAAAGCCAACTCATTCAACAAATAAATGTCCTACACAGAGTCATAGGGCCTGGGGACACTCACTGAGCACTGACAAAATGGAGCTTTCATCCTGGTAGAGTAAAACATCCCAGCCTAATGGGAGTGGAAGTTGGGAGGACTTTTACAAAGGGGAACTCACAGCACTAGGTATGGACTGGCTCTGGGGAAGCCAGTGTCAGTGATAATACCCTGGACTCAAAACTGATGGACAGCAACAGACACTTACATGTCAGACAGAAGTCCCTAAACCCATCAGCCCAATGTCAGATGGTAATCACTTTTTAAAGGAAGACACCTGCTAGTTAACGCTATCTGGATAAAGCAGTACAACTAAGCAAGAAGTAATACAAGAGTAATACAGTCTTACTCTGCCACCTAGCGTTAAGCTGTGTGCTGCACGATCCTCGAAGGGAACAGGGCTGTTCACCTCGACCCTCACCTTGGGCACTGCTGTCAGGTTCATGCCACCAGGCCATCATCCAAGACCCTCCTCTGGGCAGACAGAAGCCAGGACTCTGGGGAGAATGTGAATGACCCAGATACACATACTGGCCAGAGGCTGGTGCACACGGCTGCCGTTTCTCTAGGGGAGGCAGCTTGCTTCACTTAGCAAAAGCCCAACGCCAAGAGCAAGTACAGGAACACCAGGGGAATGCACGTGCATACAGCAGGACCAGGCATGGCATGCAGGAGGAGGGAAATGGGGGAAAGGAAAGACATCTTTCTCTTTCTCCGTAGAAACACTTAAAATATCATAATTCATGCTTTTAAAGGAGAACTACTTTCACAGACAAATACATGACCTAATTAAAATAACATTTTCAAGTAGTCACGCCAGGAATTCTTTTCATATGGTAACTACATTTCACATGATTTTTTATTTTTCTTTTTCCTTTAGGTATAGAGAAATTTTTCTGACCTATTGGGGATATTACCATTCAGGTAGCAATTAGCATAAGAGTGTGTGAGTATGTGTGTGTGTGTGTGTGTGTGTGTACAGATGAAGAAAGCTAGAGAGAGTTAACAATGGGCCATGACATGAGGTCAGAGGAGTTGGCCAGGGTGAACCATAAGCGTTCCACCCCACACCAGTACTTCATCACAATGCTACCTGGAAAGAAAGGCAGACAAATGACAGGATGTCCTACATTTTTCCTGTCTCTGTGCCAACCTGCTGGTTGTGATGCTGTGCTAGTTTTCCAAGACATCGGGGATATAGATATGAAGTATACGTCATGTCTCTGTCTTATTTCTTACAATTGGATATGAAGCTATAATTCCCTCAAAGACTCTAAGGAACAAAACACACATGTATCTCATTTTTGGTACTCCTAAATCACAATCATTTTGTAAGGGGTAGGACTGTCAAAGAAAAGTCAGTTGATATGAAGATCAAGAAAAAACGACTTCTTGATTTCTCCTGTTGAAATCACATAGTCATGCAACAAACCTATTGAGGGCCTGCCACCTGCCTGGTGATGCTTCCCCAGAGCTGGGGATAGAGCACTAGGTGGCAGCAATCTTAGCTGTCTCTAGTTGGGTTAAATACCAGCACAGAACATGGACAAGTAAACAAGTCCAATAGCTCCAACAGAGCTCAGTGCTGTGAGCACATGACAAAAGGGCCTGTGATGGGAGTGGGGAGGGGTATGGCAATGTCACATGCTTCTTTGAGGACAGAGGTTTGATCTGAAGTTTGCATGGTATAAGGGAACCCAGCATACAGAGCAGAAGGAAATGCATCCAAGAAAAAAGCAAACATGGGGGCCCTGATGTGGGGATCACCCTGGCCTGCTCCAGGCTGGAGGACAGTGGGCAGTTGTTAGAGAGCGTGGACCAGGAGACAGCAGTATGACATGAGATCAGAGGAGCTGGATGGCTTGTACTACACAGGGTCCCACCCCACATCTATGAATGAAACAGCCTGATGGGAACCTCATTTAACTTCAGCAGAATAGCTTTTGTTTCTGTCTCTGTAGTAATACACCATTAAAACATTTTAGAAGCCAAGGAAAGTTCAGGAAAGTTCTCAAAGTACAGAGCTTTGATTTCAAAGTTACTGCTCATGCTTATGTTCCAAAAATTACAAATATTAAAACAGTACAAAATACAAAGGATGCTAGCTCACTTTTTCTTTTCTTTTTTTTTAAGACTATTATGCCCAGTCTGATCTCAAACTCCTGAAAGCATCATCCTGTCCCATTTCTTCCAAGTAGTTAGAACTATAGGCAAGTGCCTGTGAGTTTCTTTTTTTTTCCAAAAAGCAAGCAGTGGTTTTTTAAGGGACAATAAAAATCATTCTACATGATCAGGAAGTCAAAGCAAAAACGGTAAGCAATTCAACTTTGCACCTACGTATAAATGATACCGTAAGTGTGCATTTTGGGGTCTTCTTCCTCAATCGAGAACCTAAGCCAGTGCTCCTGAGGCCCTTGCCGCTCTGCTTTCTTTTCCAGATCCCAGTATAATTCAATGCTGTGATGAGTCACTTTGCCCACGACAGGTGGATGAGGCTTTGAGGACGGCGTGATTTCTTAAAAAGAAAAGAAAAGCATGGTTACAGGATCCTCATTTACATGAGAAAGAGAGTCTAGCCACGCAGATTAACATTCTCTTTGCTCAGGTCCAATTATTTCACACGTAGGTGTGAGTGCTGAACACCTGAAGAGCTGAAGGACACAATCCAGCTGGAGCGGTGCTCGCAGGCAGACTGTGCCATCCCACCAGCACCGCATCTCACGCACAGAGTCTTCACGAGCTGATTTGTGATCAGCCCAATTAGAGAGCTCTTTCAGCCAGGGAAACTCACTCAGTCTGCTGCTATTGTCCTTCGAGGACTGGCTAGTAGATTAAGCCAACAAACAAAATCTGCATCTTGTCCAAATATTTATAAAACAGAGGGCAAAGTGCTGGTATATTTTCTAGATATGCAGCCCTTACAAACTAACCAAGAAAAGGAAATCAAAGGCTAATCACAAACCAAGTAAAACAGCAAGATACCAAAGAGCAAAAACAAATAGCCAACATAATATATGAAAAAATGTTCATATTCCAGTGTTAATAGAAATTGGTAGTAATCTCCTACAACTTTTAATATCTGCCTGTCACTTTTAATATCACTACTATTAGAAGTGACAGCATAGGTAGAAGATACTCTCATGAATTGGTTGTGGGGGAATACAAATCATAGCTTTTTAGCAAATTGGGCAGGTAACACATACCTATAAATCCCAGCACTCTGGGAGGCAGAGGCAGGAAGACTCCAAGTTTGAACCCAGCATGGGCAAGTCAACAAAATAGTGAGATCCTGTCTCAGCATAAAAATTAAAAAGAACTAGAGATAAGAGTTCAGTGTGAAGGGTCTAGGTTTAATCTCTAGGAGAGAAAAGGAGGGAGGAGGGGAAGATTAGAAGGGAGGAGACACAGGGAAAGAAAAACAAAAGCAACATGGCAGTATCTATTAAAAGTATAAATACACACACTCTTCTATCTGGTCATCTCATTCCCAGCCATCTCTTCCACAGAAATTGGTGAACTAGAGCACACAGTGACACACACACACAAGAATGTTAACTATTACCATCGTTAGCAGGTTACAGAAAAAAATCATTAACTCATAACTCATTAAAAAAGGAATGTGAATATAAATTATAATGTGTCCATAACATATAACTGCTTTACAGTTTTACAACTGTCAACAGTAAATTAGCTCTGTAGTAGATACTTTGAGAGGATTTCTGCAAGGTACTGCTAGATGAGAAATTAAGGTAAGGGGGAAAATATACAATGTCTTATTTTTGTAAAAGACAAAAAGTACAATTTACACCATTGCTTAGCAATATGTAATTGTTCAGTTTTACAGTAAGTGTGCCTTCTCTGCTACATTTTAAGCTTCTTGGTGGCTGCGTCCTTCTGAAACCTCTCCTTGATTTCAAGTACTTTCTAGACCTCAAGTACATCACCGATTGACACTGATTATTTTTAAAGAAAGGATTTTGTACTTCCTTTAGGCCAGTGTTCCACATAGCTGGCAAGATGTTCTCTGAAGACCCCAGGGCCCTTCTGCACTGTGGTCTCCCACAGAGGAAGACAGGACTGCCCCAGCCTCACCTGCTCCAGGCCAGCAGGGCACACAACCAACAATTTCCTTTGCAATGAGGTCACAGAGATGCCTTGGAGACAGCCTAACAGCCTCGTTTTCCAATGTCTATTTTCCAAATATTTATAGAAAGCATGGTGGGATTGGATAAACATGAGTTTGAATCTGTGTGTTCAAAATACTTTCCCCAAAGTGTTATAGGATAATTGAATAACATGTACAAACTAATGATCAATAAATGCTGGTCCATTTCATGCAATGGAATCCTATCCTGGGGCTGAAACAAAATAATTGTATGTGCATCTACTTAGATAAATCTCAAACAACCAAGGGAAAAACAGGTTGCAAAAGGAAACACTATGTTATTGTATGCTTACGTAACGCAGCAATATTATATTATTTATGAATACACAGAAATGCAGTCAGAATTAAAAAGGAGGAGACTGCAGGAAAGAACCACTGTCACAGAGACAAAGTGAAGGGACAGAGGCCTGAGATGGCAAGGGTATCTTACTCTCTACTTGTAAGGTTTTATATCTTTATGAAAAAAATTAAGACATGTATAGAAACTGTTCACATTTGAAACCTATATGGTATGACTTTTAGATGAATTCCTATTTACAGTAATTTTGATAGGATTAAAATATTAATTTTTGAAAAGTGATAAAAATAAATGATCCACTTTACTCCTAGAGCACATTTGGTTTTCTTAGAGCAACTGACACTAATTTGCAAGTCCAGATCAACACTTGCTGGAAGGAGCTGTGAGCCAGAGAAGGACATTTCAGGGAGAGACATGTCATTTGGTAGCAAGTCAGCTACAGTGACCCCATGATTCAAATCACCTTCCAACAGCCCCACTTCTGAACAGGTTTTAGGGAAACACTGTAGATCTAAACCATAGTTATTCCCAAAGTAACTAGAACCTAACTAGTACAGTAGTTTAGTTCCAAACACGTCTGGCCTAGAATTCCATTAGACATCAAGCCAGGAAAGACATTCTAAATTAAGAGCACATTTCAAAAAGGACAAACTAAATGGTTCCTCATGAATGTACAGAAGAGTGAAAAGAAGACATTCCTAGTTACAAAGCTTCTCACTTTTTGCTTTTTATTAGTGATACACAGAAATAACAATGAGATATTGCTCAACAAGCTTGGTCCCGCTCACACCAGGTCCACCACCACCAGACCTGGCCTTGGGCACACTTGTAGCTGCCACTTACAACAGAGTCAGAAACCCTACCGCTTCCTGGTCACCACCTCTCAGATCTAGCATACGGCCCAGGTGGGAAAGGTCTGAGACCCAGAATATTCATTTATTCACACTTACCCTTTTCAATTTTTTAAGGAGTGATTCAAACACAAGGGTACCAGGCCTCTGAAGGAGCCCTCAGTGTGAGTGAAGCCTTATTGGAGACACACAGAGGGTAACAGGGGTCATGTGTCCTTGCAGTGCTCTGCTCTACCAGGAACTGACCATCAGTGACATTCTCCATTACCTTGTATGTCAACACAAACTCAGCAAGACGTGGCTTTTATGAAAAGCTGTTAACACTAGACAGGACCAGGATAGTCAGGTAACAGCTAATTATGTTTAGATTTCCAAGAAATAATCAACAAATATATTTTTTTTCTTTCTCAGTCAACCTATAGTAATTGAACAAACATATTTTAATCAATAAAAATTATTCCCATATAAAGTTTATCCTTTTGATTTAAAAAATCCGGTATTTTTGTCATAACCTGTTAATCTACATTCTATTTTGGATGTTTGTTTCAGGACCTTAAAACAGGAAGCACATTAACAGGTCACTGGCCAAAGGGCACACAGCACTACGTAGATGGAGCAGATGGCTGAGTCTTGTTGAGAGCTGCAGAAGTACCAAAGCACATGGCTGGTCACTGGGAAAGACCAGCAGGACCAGGAGCATTATGTGACAGTTTATGCCACGTACTGTTGTAGAAACTTCACATTTATTCATTTAACATTTGCCAAACTTAACCAGCTCTATATAGTATAAGATTATTTTTATCATCTGTATTTCAAGGGAGAGGTTAAGTAATTTATCCATGCTCACCCAGAAAGAACTAGTATTAAAACACAGATGGTGATGTGTGTGTGTGTGCTAAGATAGTTATAGTACTGATTTCTCTGAATCCACTAAAGAGAAAGATTTGTGCTAGTATTGTTTGGGCAATTGAATGTAGGTGTCTTGTGCTCTGGGTGAATGATTTGGGGATGACAATGCACAATATATGTACCATTGTTGTCCCTTGATTGATGTGTTTTGAAATTTTGTTTTAGTTTTTTCTTTATCCTTGAAATAAGATGGATTTTTAAAAATAAATAAATAAAAAAACCTAGATGGTGTAGCTCAGGAGTCCCTCATGACTCTGTACCTTACTGCCTTATAAGAGTGCAGACACAAGATGCTGATGCAGGATGAAAAGTCTAGTGTTTAATGGATCATACTCCAGATTTTCTCAAACCATTTTAAATCAGATTTAATCTCAATGAAATTATAAAATGATCAAAAAACTTGGCCCAAAAAGAAGAGGAAAGAGAAGCCACATAAACGTTTCAATGAGCACAGGGATAGTGTTCATGGAGTTCAGGGGTGGTTTACAAGAAGCTTCCTCCCAGCACTGGGGTGGGGATGCTGAGTGACAAGAATCCACTCCCTGGAAAGGAAGCACCCTGAGAAGCCCACAGCGACCAGCAGTGGAAGCCAGAGAAGTTGGGTAATGCCCATCTGCAGACCTGAGCATAGATAGGAGGTCAGCCAGGCTCTTCCTTTACTAAACATGGAATGTGGAGGAGCAAAAATCACAGGGACAAGAGAGGGACAAGGGTAAAGAATGTGGACAAAACAATGAAGACGCACTTGGGACACAGAAGAGATGTCACGGTGGGAAAGCACACTGACTGACTTTACTTCCTGAACAAACGCTCTGTGACTGTAAATTTGATCATCCCTAAAGTTTATAATAAAGCTAGAATATCAAGGAGGGGTATGCATGCCTCTGATGATAACTGGTCCACTTTTTCCTGGGATTTAATCTACTGGCTGGGAAGCAGGAAATATCCTTCTTAAGATGAAAAAAATCAACATTTCTAAAAACTCAAAAGTTTAGCTTTTTGCTATTTCTTTGTTCATACTAGTGTGTGTTTGTGAACTTTTATTTATCTTTTATCAATAGATATATTCTTTAGGAATTATTTTCATAAGTTTTGCAAAACTGTCATAAAATGTACACATATCCAAAAATATACATTCATACACAAATTTCATATCTTATTTAAACATATAAAACTCTTAAAACATTTTTCCTGGTTATAAATATAAATCTATTAAAAGATATACATTTATTTGTTTTGTTTTTGTTTTTATTTTTGGTACTAGAGATCAAACTCACGACCTTGTGTTTGCC